AAAAAAAAAAAAGACTATAAGCGCTTATAAAATGCCACCAGATTTACCTTGCCAACACCAGTCAACGATAGCTAAATCAGTTGCCAATATAATTTTTGTTAATTTTGTTCAGAATATCAACAAATCGGAGTGGTAAATGGCAAATAATTCGTCACCACTTAAAAAACGTCAAAACAGTTCATAACTGTTGCCAACAACAAAAATGCTGACAGTGTGCCATTCCATGACAAAATGTCGTCGATAACAAACAGCACAAAGGTTCTGTTGATACAGACACAAATAAGAAAACTTTTTTTGTTTGTTCATCATACCAAATAAAGTGTTTATCAAAAGCTAAAAAGAGAACAAAAAAGTATCGATTCTATGATTTCTACCATTCACTATACTCCACAAGGATTATTGATGTTTCCTCCATAAACGAATGCCTTCCGCTGTTTGTTCATAAAATTAATTATGACAACACAAAACTACTGTTTGCCACTTGTCATCATGGACAAACCAATATCCAAGCCATTTAAAAAGTTCTTCAAATAAAAAATGTAATTTTTGTTAATTTTGTTAACGACATTTTTTTCAGCTTAACTTTAAAGTAGAAAATACTTGCGAAAAAATGGGGAAGAAAAAAGCAAAACAGTTTCCCTTCTGCTTCAAAAACATTACGACGAATGTTTCACCAAAAATATATATTTTTTCAATGCAAAAAAATAAACTTAAGAATTTATGTGGCACAAATAACATGTGGAAAATTTTTTACAGACTTCATGCAGATAGCCATTTTACCAAAACTCAAATATATTATCACCCCTGTTTTCAGTTCACTAATTACAGTATTCATATTGTAATAGCCCTGGTTTTTGCCTCGTTTCGAAATTCCAAGTTATATACAGCAACGACAGATAGGAACCGTCCACTGATCCATAAAACATTAAGTTTTACTCGTTCACCTCTCGTTCACCCGTTTTGTTTACAAAACTTTCGCTAACAATTTAAATATCCAAAAAGTATGAAAAAGCGAAAAAAAAGAAAGTTTTAAAAAATGATTAATGTAAGTAAAAAAGAAAAAAACAGTGAAAAAAGCAACAAACAAAAGTAATATAAAATTAAATAATAAAGTTAATAAAAAAATGAAAGAACTCAAAAATCCGCATTTAATTAGCCTTCCTTGTTGGCTCTACATCTTTTCCTTGCTGCGCAGCTGGTCGAACTATGGTCGCAACTGCCTGCTAATTCCCTTTAAGCGGCAGGTTTCCCAGTCACTAAGAAACCATTAAATCAACTTTACCGGCAGGAAGTCAACCAAAGACCATTTCAGAAATCATTGACTCACCAAGCTGAAATTGCTGCGAACACTGAACCGCATCATTACCTTTCAACATTTCTTTTTGGGGTCTTCAATGCTATTTACTACTCTGCATAACGGGTAACCAGCAGAACATTTGTATTTATTCACAACTTAGTTCAAACGATACACACAAATAATACATTTAAAAAAAATAAAAAACCAAATCTTTCTTTCCATTTATATCATCAGCGTTAAACAAACAGTAATGACGCGCAATGTCCCACCTTCCGTCCGACTTACCAACATAGGCACCAAAAGCTACTTATTTTCAAGAACACATGAACTAAAGCTAGTCTAAAAACTTCTTCCAGCTATGCTGCACGCTGTGCAACAACTATAACTTTGGTCACTCCTCCCAATCATCAAAACATCCAACTTTTACTTCTCAAACCACGCAGCCTTCATACCCAATTCCGTACCGCTAAGTCAAAGTTTCTTTTTACCTTACAATTCATACATACTGTCTGCCCTTGAAAAAGTGAATATTATTATTTATTTCTCAAATCCACTTTCTGCGCTCGCTTGTCACACCATAAATCTGCCGCTTCTCGTTTTGATACCATTAGAAAACACGAAGCATTCACATGCTGCCCGTATGCAGTGACCAAACCCCCCAAATTACCCGACTCACGCCACAACTTGTTACTGTTCCAACTGCAGACTACAATGATGCAACTGTACAATACTTTTACATTAAAATTTAATATCGACTTAGGTTTTGCCAAACTTAACCACTTCTTTTAGCCAGGAAAACAAAACCGAATAACAAGGACGGAAATATCAGAATTGTTAGCAAACATAAGGTGATGACCAAAATGCACAATGAAACACAAGCAGAATAACAAATAAAAATTAGCATTCATTTGCTCAAGGAATATACATCACATTTTTGAAATGAGGTGAATTTCACTGTTTAAATATTTTAACCAAACACACGACCCCCTTAAAAATTTTCACAAAAAAATACAGCAAATTATGCAGAAGCATCAAGAAAGCTCACCCTCGGAATGTTCAAAGATTTTAGAAGTTATTATGCCAACAACATAGATAAAAGAAAAAAACCGAAAGCGGAATCCATCAAAGTCAATAATGAAAAGCATTACTCATTGTAGAAAGAGCACTTCAAAGATTAAAAAAAAAATGAACGTTACGGTATAGTCCCAATTTTGAAAGCTCTTGCAAACAGCAAAAATAATTTTGAGTCCCGCTAATTTAAGCAAGAACAGATAGTACCAATATTTTGTAAACAAAAGCAACACGTAAAAAAAAACCAGGAACAACAGAAATTAATTCATTAACCTTCCACGAAGAAAACCACTGAAACAAATAAAAAAACAAAAATAAGAATCTTTTGGTAAACATTTAACCAGAATTAATCAAAGAAGAATGAAAAGCTGGTGAAAATAAGAATAATAACAACATCAGTCCAATTTTGCATACATCCGTTCAATCTGAGCTTCAAATCGCTTTTTCAACTCCGGTCTCTTAGATTTCAGCGTTGGTGTCAGTAAACCATTTTCTACAGAAAATTGCTCGGGACATAGATAAATATCCTTCACCTGTAACGAAACGATCCAGATAAGCGCCAATTTTAAAACTTACAACAACGACATAATTAAAAACTTCTCATTAAAGAAATATTCTCAAGAAAAACAAACCTGTTGAAATGAGTAAAGTCCGGCTTTCTTCCCAACAGCAATCATATCTTCAAAAACGGCTTCCTTTATGGCAGAATTCCTACACATTTCCTGGTAACTTAAATCTAACAAATTCAACCTTTCCGCAATAGAGCCATACAAAATCTGAAACTCAAGTAGTTTTGAAACAAGTAAAAAACAAAAATAACTCAAAACCTTCCTAAAGCAAAAGCAGTTTAAGTTCTGGGCAACACACCTCGAAATCAGGAACAACGATTCCGATTATGCATGTTTTCAAACTTTCCCCGTAAATAAATGACTGAGCGACATACTTGGAACGTGCATAGACATTTTCAATATGTTCAGGAGCAACATATTCTCCCTGAAACATGGACAAATCCTGCGACTTGATTGCAACAAGCGACTGCTTATGCTTAAAGAGACCAAATAAAAAATGAACTACTTGAGCCAGTTTGAAAATGTGCTTCTTCCGATCGACTATTTTCAGAGCACCAGTTGATGTCCATTTACCAATATCCCCTGTATGTAACCAACCGTCTTCTTCCAGAACTTCCTTTGTCAATTCCTCATTCTTATAATAGCCTTTGAACACATTATAACCTCGTATACAAATCTCACCCGCCTGAAAATAAACTTTTATCACAGAGCTTAAAAAATATACATAAAAACACAGAAACGCAGTTATTAGAATGCCTACCCCATCTTTAGAAAAATAACCAAGTTCAGGAACATCGACAAGCTTAATAGCATTACAAGGAGTTGGTATGCCAACATGCCCGTAATCACAGTCGGCTTCAACGGCTAAAGTGCATGCGGCGACACACTCCGTTTGCCCTTGAATAAGCAGTGAATAAAAAAGATTTCAAGAAACTTAAAATAAATTAGCACAACAAAGTGAATTCTGACAAAAAAAAAGAAGGAAAACCAACCATAGCCTTCTATGACAATACATCCAAGCGCTGCTCTGGCAAACCTCAACACAGTTTCAGAAATAGGGGCAGAACCAGTAATCATCAATTTTACGCGACCGCCTAAGGCATTCTGAATTTTTTTGAAGACAAGTTTGTCAAAAAATGAATCATTTCGTACTATGCCCCTGCAAAAAAATTGGGCATTATTGGCAGTACAGCAAGACAACAAATGTTTCGACAGCAAAGATTTCCTTTGTTTATAAAAGTGCAAAATTTATGTAACAAACCTGTGATACTCACGAGCTTTATAAGCAAGAGCAATATCAAAAAGAGTCTTTTTAATGAAAGACTTTTCCACCTCTGACATTACCTAAAATTGAGTAAAAAAGATCAATATTTGCTTTCATCGCACATTCACATCCAAAAAGTAATGCAGTTTGAAAAATTCGGCTAAGCAGTTTAAATAATTAGGCTCCGCATGTATCAGTAAACCTTGTCATAAATCCGATTGAGAACACGCGGTACCAGAGGAATAATTGTTGGTCTTAATTCTTTTATGTCTTCAGCCATTGTCCGCACATCGCCTTTAAAATACCCAACTCGAGCGCCAACCTGGAACGCTGCTGCTTCAACAAGACGTTCAAACATATGAGCCAAAGGCAAGAAGCTGAATAAACAATCCTGAAAGCAAGGCAATGGAAGAAGAAAGACATGTCCACTCCAGTCAAAGCACCACTGCAAATAAATGCGATGTAGAAGGAAAGCAAACTGCTTAACAATACGAGGTTTAACACAATGCTTACACCATGCCAAAAGCATGAATTTTTGAGATAGCGCAAACAGGTACAGCAAGCCATGTAATTTTCATGCGTTAACATCACCCCTTTGGGCTTTCCTGTGGTCCCTGAAGTGTAACATATAGTACACAAGTCTTCCGGAGTACACGGCTGAAAATAATTTTCTACACAACAAATCTTATCTAATACAGTATTCTCAATGAAAGTGTTCTTCTTTTTCACTACAAAAATACAATGATTCCTATGCGATATACAGCTCAAGAAAAAGAATTCTTAAGACACTAGACTAAAATGAAAAAATTTAGTTACTGTGCTACTTAACTATTGCTTTTTAAAATCTCTAAGAAATATATAACACAACATTTAGAACACTCATGTATAAAACTATATAATAATAAAAGATGCTTAACAACTGTTGCTGGAATTTAAAATATACCTCTATCATAGGGCGATCTTCAAGTTCTCGACCTCGGCGTTCTATTTCAGGAAATTTATAGATTTGTACATCTACCTCACTAGCTATTCTAACTAAGTCTTCAGAAAAATCATCCATTATAATCAGATACTTCAAGGAAGGACATTCGCTACAGCTTCTCAGTAATTCTGAAACTGCTATTATAATTCTAAGGCGAGAAATTTCTGAGAGCTAGCAAGACAATATACCGTTAAACATGTTAACTGCACTGTAAATTAATTATTAAATAAGCTAACTTTCTGCTTTCTCCGAAGTGTCGCAGACAACAAGTTTCATTTCTGACTCATTAATGATGTACACACATGCTTCAGGGCCTAGTGTTTCATAAAGTGGTATTAACACGCAACGACCACTGTACGTGCCCAACTCTGTGATAATCCACTAAAATTGATAATAACAACTCAATGACTGAAAAAAATTCAACAAAAAAAGAAAAAAAAAGCCATACTTCCGGTCTGTTCTTCGCAAAAATCCCGACAAAAGTTTCCTGACCAAGCTTTATTCCCAAGTCTACCAAGCCAAAAAGGAAGTCGTATGAGCGATCAATGACCTAATATTAATAAAACAATGAATAATCGTAAACAGAAGCTTACAAAAAACAATAAGACTTGGCTTTTTAAAAGTTTCAAAAATAAATGCGTTAAAAATATTTGTATTTAAGAAGTCGCTACATGTGTCAAAGCCTGAAAATTCAGAATAAAATATTGACAGTTCTTTTACCTCTTTATATGAAAGCCAAACATACGGCTCACTGCCATCTGCTTGTTTTTTCCGATACCCAAGCATTGGACCGTTTTTGGACATGCGGCAACCACGCTGACAAGCTTCGCAAAATGTCTTAGCATCTTCAAACACAAACCGCGAAAGTTCGTCATAGCTGTCAAACATAGAAGCTATTCGAGATCCATCCTAATAAAATGATTACAAAATTCCTCGCTAAAAACCACTTTTTAAGATAATTATGTCAAATGTCTAACAAAATGAAGACCGCAAGAGAACCAAAAAATTAAAAAATGGAGTTGATAAAAGTTGATAATAAGAAAAATAATCGCTTGACTCTCCTGTCCACTCCCTCAAATGCAAAAAATCTTTCGTGTAACAAATAATGAGGGTTTCGACGTGTAAGTTTAGAAGCCAAAGCAGTCTATTTTTTCCCAGGCAGTTACTAATTACTACACGCAGTTCTGATTCCAAACTAACAATATTTATAACTAGGCTTGACCATAATATTATAATAAAAGTAATCATAGTACTGACAATAAGAAAAATAATAATAAGAATAGAAGTAATAACAATAATAACGATAGTAATATGATGACGATAGTAATGATAATAATAATAGCATTAGATACTAATGTCAACGTCATTTGGCATAAATTAATCACCTACTATTACCAGATGTAAAGACCAATACATCCCAAAAATTCACCAAAATTCTTTACATATCTGAAAAATTTAAACTGTAAAAACTGTAACATATAAAAAGAAAATACCTCTAGTACAAGAGTCTGCTTTTTAAGATCAACAATTGGATAAAGTCGACTGTGCCACCTACTGGCCATCCACCAATAACCAACGCCAAAAGTTAATGCAGCTGCAGCGCCCAGCAACGGAAGATTGGAAGCCGTAGAAGCCGGAACTGACGCGTGGTTGTAAATATAATAATCAAATAGGTCAAATAGTCCCCTAAAAATCCAACTGCTAGCAAAAGCAAATGCCAAAATTATAAGGAAAATACTACACTTATCAATCGTGAAAATTAAAATAGATAATCTTCGAAATTTTCAATTCTGTTGTCAATTTACCCCTCAAAACTCTTTACAGGACAAAAAACAAACCTCAACGTTTACCATATAGCTTCAGAAAAAGCAAAAAAAAAAATCTATTATTCCAGCAGCAATTTGCGATACCATACCAGTGTTAAGCTAATTAGGATTACAGTTTGTAAAACATGAGCCTTTAGAACCACCTCAGAAAATGCCCTATTTTATTAGCGAAACTAATTTACTAAGAAGTTTCTAAAAGAAGTCTTGTAAAAGCTAAATTACAAAGGCTTATGAAGCACTTTTCAACTACACGGCAGTTAAAACCCGAAAACAGAACAGCGAAAAAAGCTGTAACAGAGTCATGAATAAAGTCAAATTCACAAAGAAAGTTTAGGAATCTGGTATTCAAAACGATTGAAAAAAGCAATTTTTTACCAAACAATTAAAACACTGAAAGAAAAATAGCCCTGTACGCTCATCACGAAAGTTAATAGGTTTGGAATTTCTAAACAGCGACAGTAAAAACGTGAGCAAAAAGTTCTCTGGTGAAAAATGATCTATTGAAAAGAACAACCTAACAACAGCGAGACACTTAAAACAATAAATAATCCAAAATGAAAACAGACCGTGGCTAAGAAAGAAAACAAAAAACTTACGGCTTCTTATGGCTTCTCTTAGTCGCCAACCCTACACTTTAAATACACCAATTCTATTCTGCTGACGATAGATGTACAAAAAGTAACCCTTTTCCTCTTTATACATCCAATTCATCACTTTAATAAATACCCAATTATGGTAAAAAACACCCAATTATCACTTTTACATCCTCACATGCTCTATGGTTCCCTAAATGAATAAAAAATACTCGCTATGCAATCCAAAACGTTCCATGACAAAACAACCAGCGTTAAATGATTGCAACTCATAAGAAAAAAGATAAATTTCTCGCAAAAATCAAATGAAAATAAAAAACAGATAAGCAAATTTGTTTTTCCGCTAATATTCAGCTTCAGAATTCCTACACTGCAGAGGAGGAAAACAAATATGGAAAAAAAATTGATTTCCTTGGAATACGACAGATCATCACTAATAAAAAGATATATATTAGCTACTATTCAAAAAACTTACAGCAACTTCACAATTTCAGTGCTTATATGCACGACGTCGCAAAAAACTACCGTTTTGATATTTAACAGTACTGTTCTCGTAAATAATAATAAGAAAAAAATAGAAATTAAAACCAAAAAATGAGAGAAAAAATAGAAAATAAAACAAGAGAAATAAGAGTTACGACTGGAAAACGATGTAGAAAAATATAAATTTTGCTAATTGAGATCGCTAGAATTTCAGTTTCATCTCCTCTGCACCGAGAAATAGAAAAGAGACGTAATACTAAAACCTCAAACCAAAAAAATTTATTCAATAAGACAATGACGAAAAACTGAGCCGGTGAAACCCAATGGAATGGACAAGAATTTTGAATTGAAAAAAAGTCACTACACTTGCACTGAAATTTCGTTCAATAACAAAAAACTACATTTCTTCAGCTTTTATAACGGTACCTGCATTCATAAACAAACAAACAGTAGCATATTTGTCCACAAATATTAGAAAATTCATCACAAAAAGTAATCTTCGAATGACGGTACATAACCTTCATTCTCACCACTTACAATAGCTTTACACTCTACGCATAATCTCACGCTACATCTAAATTTAAACATGGCAAACAGACTTTGCAAGCCGTCACAATTAATTGACTTAAAAATGAAAGAACATGAATAAAAGACGGAAATCTCCAAAATTAAAAGTGGCAACAAAATTTCTTCAAAACAACCTGACGCCTATCAAATACCGCATCTCTGAACGCTATAAGTTCTCAGAGTAGGATAAAGCTTGTTGCCTTTTCCAAAGTCCTAACTCCATATGCAGTAAATCCTAATTCACGGCTTCAAGCAAGTACTTCACTTTTACTTTTCAACTAGTATGAGTAACTCATTTTGCTTACAAACAGGACTTGATAAGTGGAGCTGATTAGGAACTTCTGCATCACTACACTGGAACTTCTTAACTTTAACCTTATTATACTTGAAAATTAACAAATACTGTTCACAAACATTAGCAAATAACGCAATTTTTTCTGCACTAGTTGAAGTAAAAATTTTTGGTAATAAGTACACGTGTCAAACTTTCCAGGAAATAACGATCCATCTTAACCTATACCAGAAATATTCCCTGATTCAGATTATAAGATTTTTGACTAAGAAAAAATTTTAAAAAAGTTTACTTCAAGTTAATCAACTCATTTAACACCTTAAATGCCACGAAGACCTATCATTTCCTAAAGTCGTCATAAATTCACGCAATCAGGTTTAACAAACCTCTAAACACTTAACAACGCAGCCCTTACAAATCAAATAATAAAAAACATGAATAAATATAAAAAGATTATGACACAAGCTGTAAATAAAACTGAAAAAAAAAGAAATCATAGAAATATATAATTCTAAACAAAGGCTAAGGTAAATATGACAGAAGAGTTCAAAAAGCGCACATAAAAAGTTCGATCAAAATGAAAACAAAAGTAATAGAGAAGTAAAAAACCTAAAGTCTGAGCAGAAAAACCAGATATTGACTAGGCAAATAAAAATGGCTAAAAACTATCGATGTATCAATGAGAAAAACTGAAACAAAACGAAAAACAAAAATGAAAACCAAAATTATACTGCCTACTTAAATATCGACCAATGAATGAGATGAGATGCAAAACGCCGCATTCGTAA